GAGGGTGTTGGTGACTTAGTGATGCAGGTGACCAACGCATCATCTGAGCGAGACTCAGGTACAACAAGGCTTTGATACTACAAGGATCAAAGGACTAGAGGTTGGAATAGGGAGCAACTGAGCTGAAAAGATAAGAGTTTGTGTCTGACACACAAGGGTATGTGAAGCTAGATCTTAAATGGGGGGTGGTAAGTGGGGGAGCACAGGAAGAGTCATTTGGAAATAGGGAAACGAATGCATTCTAGACAAAGAGAATCACGGTGTATAGACAGAGAGATGCCACGGGGAACAGCAAGAATTTCAGTGTAACTGGAGCACACATTGCACAGAGAAAAGTGGCATCAAATCAAGGTGGAACAAACGTTAGGCCAGACTGTGAAAAGCCTAAGAAGTTTGGGCATTAGTTCCTCCAAGAGGCCTGAAGTTCCCAGGCAGGGAGTCCAGTATGGCTACAGCCGAGCAGGGGCTCCCCCATGCAGGCTGGACTCCAGGCCAAGCTCTGCTTGCCAAGGCAGTCACCCCACTCTGTGGCTGCTTCAGTAGGAGAAAGACCTTCTATGTGATTTACACACGCCTCCAGGGGATGAGGCGTCCCTCTTCCACATCATCCCCCTAGAGAGGGGCGGATGTCTTTCCTATTGGCCGACAGTGGCTCTGAGTAGAGTGATAATCAGATGGACTTTTCAGGGCCCACTCTCTGAGCACAGTGTAGAAGATGACCTAGAATGAGGAGACACAGTATGCAGTAATAGGTATGACAACAACCGAGAGGCCAGATCCTGAAGCAAGCCCTGTCGTAGAATTAACACTCAGCATCTTACAGACTTAAGGACAGTGGGATGACTTTCATTCATTCTCCACTGTGTTCCTAGACCTGCCCACAATTAATGCTCAATTAATATTTATCAAATGAAGACAATAGAGCTACAAACAACAAAATACTTTTCATGAGAAAGATGCTGTCTGATTGGATGGAGTCCTCTAGCTTCGGAAACAGTACCTTCAATCATCTTAAGGCTCCTAAGTTTTGAGTGAGTTGTAGACCTTGGAGCACTCAGCTAGAATTTTACAGGCGCTCCCGTGCAGTGTTTCTCAACCTTGGCTGAACAGTCAAATTACCTGAGAAGCTTTTAAAAATCTCAGGGCCCATACTGGACAAATTAGCTCAGAAACTCTGGGGGTAGTACCCAGGCATTAATAGCTTTTAAAGCTCCTGAGGTGATTCCAATATATAGTCAAAGTCCCCCTTGGAACATTGCAGCCCCTGTTCTATATGACCAGATGTGGTCGTTAATGCATAGACAGAAGCAGGGTAAGACAGGGCAGAGCAGTTTAACATATCCGACCACTGCGGCACAATGAATCATCTGGTTTTTTCCTGAGATCTTTGTACCTAGTGACCAGTTCTTCAAAATTAATTCCAGTATCTTGGCAAAAAAATGAAAAAAATTAAAGAAATCCATTCTACTCCCTCACTGATTTTAGGAAACTGAATCATGGGCAAAATGTGGTGCAAAATAGAGCCACTATTAAAAATAATAGTTTAGAAAGTAAATAATGTGCAGGGTTGGAAATGATTTTAAGACCCCCTTATTTGCTGCTAATATTATACGTGTTCCAGGTGTCTGAAAGACCAAGTCCTATAGAAAAATGAAAGGAAAAGTTTAAAAATAATTTAAGAGTCAGAATGAGGATATTTCTGTACAGAGTGGAAAGATTGTTCTTGTTTCATCATTTTAGACTCAAAGTTAGTTAAAGTACTCAAGTAATTTAAGTCTCTTAGGACTTAAGAGCAAGAAGAACAATGGTAACCAAAGAGGTGTCTAAGGACGCCTCCTGCCCATGGGTGCTTTTTCTGATCCACAACAGATAAGAAATTAAGAGTAAAGGTTTAGAACTTTTATAGCAATTGAATAATCTCTGCTGAATCACATAGAATATTGAGACTTCTACTTTGTGTATTTTTGTGTTTTTATTTTACTTTTTGTAATTAGTTTTATATAAAAATATAAGCCCACAACAAACTAGAAACTTTCAAAAATTGTCCTCTCACCATGGAGAGTTTGGGAACCCCTGGGCCGGGAGACCGCAGCTACAGCTGAACATCGGGGCAAAGGGTGCCCGCAGAAGGATAAAGTGAATACAGCCAATTAAACTCTACTTTACCCACTTCGAATTTATATGAATTCATATTTCAAAGGCCTGCTTCCTTTTACCTTAGACTGTCATTATAAAAAGTTGTTTTCTGCTATCGGCTTATCTGCATTGCTGGAAGCTATTTAAAAGAAAACAGCCTATGTTCAAAAACAGGTGGGAAGTTTAAGGTTTAGCGGTACTAGTTCATTTTCTGAAAGGAACCACAATGTCAAAAAACATGGAGAAGTTCTTAATTCCTGTTGGGAAAAGGAGGTACTCTCCTTTTTAATAAGAAAATTTGGGGGGGGGGAGGTGGGCTGGGATGGGAGTAAAAGGCAGAAAATGTGAACCACAATTGAAAATACAATTGAACAACAACAATTAAAATTAAAAAATAAAAATAATAATTTTAAAAAGAAAAAGAAAACTAAGCCACTCTCTTCTGATTGCAAATAGGTAATCACAGGGTTTCAGACTATTACTGCAGAGATACCTTGTTTAAAAACAAGGACCCCTGCAGAGGGAGGTTGATACTCCCAGGATCACACAGCGAGTGGATGCAGAGCCCTGAATTCAAACCCAGACAATGCTGCTCTCCTTCTGCCGCCTTCCCACAGAAAGTGCTCCCCGGGGGGAACCCTGAGAGGGGATGCTTATATGAAAACTTCACTTCCAGGTAGCTGAAATTAGTAATAAATATTAAAATAATGTCAAATGCTTATGAACCTCCTTAGTGTGTCAGTTTCCTCATTCTACTTAGAGCTTCCTGTGCACAGAGACTAATGTGTGTCCCAAACCGATTCGCACATCACTCAGAAATACACACCAGAGGAGTGCTGTCCTCCTCGCCTGTCTCCATGCTGAGACTGGTTTGATCTGCATTACCATCAACATGCTTCGAGAGCAAACCACCTTGATCCTTGTTAGGAAATAGTGGGATATCATTTATAACATCAGTGCATGTCCCTGACAAATAGCAAGTCCATGTAGAGATTACATAGTCGCTGTGAGGAATCCAGAATCCGCATTGACTAATTTAACCCATGTCTGTTCAGGGAACTAAACAACTGTTACTTCAAAGAAATATTTGCACAAAAAGAATAAAAATGCTAATCAATTATTTGGCTCTCTTATCTAGACAGTGCCAGGAAAATCCAGATTTTTAAATGTGGACAATAGAAATTTTTTCAGTCTGTATTTTTGGCATTGTTTAGTGTTAGCTGGAGAGTATAATCTTTAACTCGGCTATATTATTGTTTACTGACATTAAAATGAATAATTCTGCTTTTTTACCACACTCTAAAACATTTAGCATAATATTTTATATTCCTTATTCATATTAGTGGATTTTTTCTTATTTTTAAAAGAGTTTATTTGAGCCAAACCTGAGGACAATTGCCAGGAAGCAAGGTCTAAAATGCTCCCACCTGTAGCTTTTTAAAGACAAAAAGTACATGGTTCCTCAATTCTTAGCCTCACTGATTAAAAGTTAATATTTGATAAAGCAACCAAGCTATCAATGCTGAAATCATCCAGTAGGTGCAATAGATGTGGCCACTTCAATAACAGGAAAAATCCAGATTTCTTTTTTAAAAGCTCATGGGTGAAATGAGTGAAGGTGGTCAAAAGAGAGAAACTTCCAGTTATAAGGTGAATAAGTGCGGGAATGTAATGTACCCATGGTGCCTCTCGTTGACAGTGTTGTGTTGAGTATTTGAAACCTGCTATGAGAGTGAATATTAACAGTTCTCCTCACAAGAAATAAAACCTTTTTGTAACTGTGTGTGGTGACGTATGCTAACTAAACTTGTGGTGGTGATTGTTTCACAATATATACCTGGATCAGATTATATTGTACACCTAACACGTTATACACCAATTAAATCAATTAAAATAATAAATATGACGCTCACTGTATTATCTCGAGGTAAATTTTAAGTATGTAGACCTGGTCTGAGATTATAATGGCAGTAGTTCAGAATCTTCGGGTTTGAGCAATGAGCCTTTTTTGATGTCAACCTTGAACTGTTAGATTAAGTCTTAGTTGGTCTTGATCAGAATCGGTCTAGCAGTCAGGCTTTGGGGAGCTGAGATACAGACAGCACATACTAGTGATGCTGAGGGATTATGTGGGGCACAATAAAAAAACCCAGAAAAGTCAAAACAAAATAAAATCTAATTACATGGAGTTTCGCTTAAAACAAAAATTGATTGAGTTCTGCCCGAAGTGGCGTGTTGTTTCCTGCGCCAGGAACTACTGTGCGGCCCAGCAGGAAGTGTGCTGCGGAGCGGGATCACATTACACCCTTGTTTTATGGTTCATTTCACTTATTTAATGCAATCTGAGAACCTGCAAAAGGAACACGTTAGAAGGAGGGACTAGGCTTTTTGTCTTGTTTTGTTTTGCTTTTTTAAGTACCTTTGAATCAAGACTTTTTTTTCTATGAACACACTTTACAAGGTGTTCATAGTGCCATAGAAGCAGGACTTCCAGGGTTGCGCAGTGAAGACATTTCTTTTTCTCACACAATTTAAAGCGAGACACAAAGTTGACTTATGTCTAGCATCAAGTTCTGTCTTTCCTTGCCGTCCTATTCAAGTAGTTTTAACGTGAAGAATTACAACCATGACCATGAATGGTCTAAATCATCCTGAGTCCCTCCTAGGGTCTCTAGCAAGCCCATGGTGGTGGAGGGAGGGGTGGGAGGTTAGGAATATGTTCAAGATGCAACATAGCGATTCATTTGTCAAGCAAAAGAATGAGTTCATTTGACTCTACTGCTTGAAAATGTGTGAATTGAACAGCTGGATTTCCTTGGGATGGCATATGCCGCTCCTCACATGCTGTCTCTTTTCCTCTCCAGAGACCTCAGCATGAACAACATCAGTCAGCTGCCCCCGAGTCCTCTGCATGGTCTCCGCTTCCTGGAGGAGCTGTAAGTACCACTGCAGTCATGATGCGTCCAGTCAATGCTGGACGTATTCTTGTGTTTGTCTCTCATACTTACTGTGGGAACCAGAAAAAACAAGGCTGAAAAGCTGTCAGCACCGGCAATTTTGGCACATGAGGAAGCACTTAGTTGGGAGGGGGAAATAAAAGAATTGCTTATGATTCTGGAAATCAACTTATAAAAGAGTTTACCATGAGGCTACAGCCTTCTAAGGTGAGACTGGGCCAAACAAATTAAAATTTTAAAACAAAGGCTGTTTAAAAGAGCTGGATGGCTCTTTGGAAATAGTTAAGCAGCAGGATATTAAAAGTTTGAATACTGGTTCATGTTTATTAAAATAGCAAGTAAACCTATAATCAAAACCAAAAACTGCTGCTTCGTTCGGCTTGTGACAAGGAGTCCGCATTTCATAGCCCTAAAGCTTTTTGTCCTGATCACTCTTAATTTCTATTTTCCTACTTTTAAATTTAGCTTCCCTCAAGGCTTGAGCAGAAAAACATGAATCCACAGAGGACTGAAAACTGGGCTCTCCTAAACTCACTGTGATAAAAAATAAATAAATTACATTAAAAGGGAGGAAGCTAAATTGGCTAATGATACACAGAGAAATCTTGATTAAGTCTAGCAATCAATTTCCAGAAGATGAAAAAGAACTATATAAACCAGAAATCTGCATGTAAAAATCCATTTGATCCTCTTACCCTTTTGAGTGATGGGGACAGAGGAAGTGATGTACCATGGTAGTCTTCGTGAAGACAGTTTGGCACCATCAGCTGAGTAAATCCTCTGACTTTTGATTAAAGGAATTGTTTAGGCAATGACCTCTTCTCGAAATACTTTTTAAAAATAAATCCTAGAACCAGATCTAATTTGGGAGTAATTTAAATTGTTGATGTACCACATGACCCACCGTGGGAATTGGAAAGAGCGTTTCATCACAACCAAATTACACTACATCAATCTTTTTTCCCCCAAAAGGACAATATTCTCATATTTCTCCCCTTTAGTTTATCTATATTTATTTTGACACCTTATATTTTTAACAAATGCTATTGTTTTAATACTTAGTTTGGCTGAATATGCCCAGATTATTATGGAGGGGTTTGCTAGGGAGGCTTAGGTTACTAGGCTGTTCAGCGCATTTTAACCCCTTGGAGAGTGGATGTTCACTCTGGGCTGTCCAGAAAGCTGCTTTTCCATCTTCTTTTTTCTCTCTGGCCATTCCTGTACCTCGAATTTAACATTCCTCAAGGTTGGGGTCATGGCTGTCTCCCTCACCACTAGTGTGTTACAGATGATACATTTTTGAAGAATGAGAGAATGAACTTGTAAGAAAGCAAGATGTGTGAAAAGAGCTTATACAAGTTAGCTGCCTTGGAATAAAGTTAGAGATTTAGTTGGCATAAGCCAATCTTTTTAAAGATTAATTTTAGTAAGCTTCAAACATCAGGATTATTTTCTTATTTACGTGCTTCTCGTCCTCCCACCCCACCATAACTGACATACAATACTTAGTGCTGTTTATCCCCATATTTTTAAGGCATGTATTTCCTATCCTTTTCTCTTTCATTTCCTTATGCAATAGCAAAAGGACACCTCAACATTATACCATAAACTGAATTAATAATAATTCACTTCCCCAAGGACTTTATTTAATAGAGTCCCTCCATTAGTAACCCAACTTATTCAAAATAACTCTTCTTTCTTCATGAGATAAATATTAATTCAGTTCCAAGGCCAGTTTTTCAAAAGATAATTGAGAAAAATCAGGAAACAAAAAGAAGAAGGGAACTACCATTTGAAAATGCTGTTTGTCTGAATTGTCTTTTTTTATATCTCTGGAAACTCCATCAAGTATCTTGACAATGGAATCATAGCATTTCAGAAATAGAGAACACCTTTTAAAGACCATTCCATTTTCTCATTCTGTTCTTGAATTACCTCTGCTGAGCTGGCCAACTTGCTGAATTTAAAAATGAGACCACTTTCCCATGTATAATTCTGTGTTGCACCTAATGATATTCTGAAGACATCATTATTTATTTAGTAGCAAAAGGAGATAGTATTTATAGAACATGGAAAAATGATTAACTCTACTTATTTTTTTTATTCCCAAAGCTAAATTTAGGGGTTGCCTTTATTATGTTGCTAATTGTTTCTATTAGACTTAGCCATGTTGAAGTCTATGTTCTCTTTGAGAATATAAGTTCTTCAAAATGATGTAATTATAATGACAACAATAGCTTGCACTGTGCAAAATGTTCTACCCATATTATCCAACTGGATCCTCTTAACAACCCCATAAAATTAGATATTATTATTTCTAGTTCACAGAATCATTTTTAAAAAGCTAAAGTATAGAGAAATGAGAAACTCACCCAAGAAACTGGAATCCGAACATGTCAGAGCTAAGATTCGAACCCACTTTCAAAGCCAGACTCAGAAAGTAGAAAGAGGGTCAGGAATTGTGTGCTCCATCTGTGCTTTTCTCTTCCTCCACAGCACCTAGTCCAGTGGTTTGCACAGTGGAACACTTTAAAGCTTTTAAATTGAGTTTGTGAAGATAGTGTGTATATGTGTATCTGTGTATGTGTGTATGTGGGGGAATGAAAGCAAGAGACTGAGAGAAAAACTGACAAAAAGCCATCTACCTAGCCGGTAGGGATTGGGTATCCAAGCTATTCATTCACTAGGATCATATATTGTCTATGTGAAAAGTATCATCAGAATTTTCAGGCATAGAATTTCACCAACTTAGCATTGCTCAAAAAGTACAAAACCTTAATTAATGTTTTTACATATGCGTGCATATAAGTAAGCAGTATATTTCACATAATATTCTGCCTGAACTAACAGATGACCAACCATACAGCTAGATAGACATTAGATACCTGTCCTTTCATGTGTGTTTATTATCTTTTATGACAATTAAGACATGATTCTGAAAGTAATTCTTTCATTCAGTTTATTCAGCTCATCTCTATGCCTTATCTCTTTATCCATTAAGTAGAAAACTGCTACTGACACTGTCAATAGTACTAATAGAACTCAAAACTCAATTTTTTAAAATCACTGTTAATAAACCCAAGTTACCAGTCTTTTCCCTTAGTACCAATTATGCAATACAGGGTGGGGCAAAAGTGAGTTTACAGTTGTTCATATGAGAAGTAATATCATAATTAATAAATAATAACACAAGAATAAACTGTGTTTTGTGTAATCACAACTGTAAACCTACCTTTGCCCCACCCCATGTATCATTTCCCTAGTTTAATTCCTTTAACTATATTTTAAACCCTGCAGACAGCCCTAGCTCATTCCTCATCCATCACTGGAACTTACCACCCCTGCCACAGTTCAAAGTGCTCTAGGAATCAGTAAAGCCCTAGAGGTATTCACTGACTTCATATTTAAAAAAATACATTGTAACCCTGGAGAAAGTGACTATCTGGAATAAATACCTAAGAAGAAGAATAAAAGCCATCATAGTTACGGTATTTTGGACTATAAGACGCACCCCCAAATTTGGGAGGAAATGGAAATGTGTCTTATAGTGCGAATGCAGCTTACCTGGCTCACGGTGGGCGGGGGGCAGCAGTGGAGCTGGGTCACAGGTTACTAAATATTTTACCACACATTTTGCTTCAAAGTTTTTTTTTCTCTTTTCCTCCTCTAAAACCTAGGCACGTCTTACGGTCTTACTTACGGTCAGGTGCATCTAATAGTCCAAAAATACGGTAAGTGTCTCTCCTGACATTCTGAGACACTTACTTACTACCTGTGACACATGTTTTGGCACACTCAGGTCTCATTTGTTATTTATTTTTTACAAATCTACAAGGTCACCAGACACGCACAGGCCAAACGTCCTGCTGGTGCAATGCGATAGCGCAGGAGGAGAACTCTTCTCTTTAGGGGGGCGGATGGGGACAGGGAACCCCGTTTGATCTAGGTGTGCCAAGGCTGCACCGTGTGGAGGCAGAAGCCCGGGACTCCTGTCCTGTCCTGACCCTGCCGTTTACTACCTGGTCATCCGCTTGACCTCCCTGCGCCTCAGGTGATGCTGGTGAAAGCTTCCCAGCCTGTGTTTTGAGATGTTTGTGAGGATCAAGTGAAGTGATGATGAAAAAACTTTGGTAAACTAATTTACACATTCAGTTGTAGTGGTAAAATTAAAACACTTTCAAGAAGCTTGTAACTTCCTTTTTTTTTTATTTCATGAGCTTCATTTGGACAGGTATCCAGGGTTTGTGAGAGAAGCTCTTCCCAAATATGAGCTTTAATGCTTTAATGACACAATCAATGTAGACAGTTCTTTACCACATTTTCACATCCCGACCAATAATTGCATTTCCCTCCAACAGTATCTCCCCCATTTTTAGTTATTCAGTTCTACTAGGGACTTAATGTTAATGTTTGCTATTTGGACACATAAAAGATTCTATACTTGGTCACTTAGAGTGTGGCTCAAATGTTAGGAGCTAATTGTGCCTAATGCTGGCATCTGCCCATTCCACTAAACCTAGGTTAGTAGTTCGATTAAACCAGAGGGAGATGAATCGTTACCATTTCAAACAGTCTTAAGTTCTTTATTTCCAAGTAGTATTTACAATATTCCCAGATTCTAATGCTACTGGAATCAAGTACCTGATTTAGGAAGAAAATATGAGAAGCCCTAGGGAGGTGTCTTCTAAGTTTCTATTGTCCCCTCGCCCTGTTTGCTCATACTATGATTGGCCTTGAAGAATCTTTATGTAAATAATAGGTATCTGTTATTGCATATGAAATTTATAATGAGAGATACCACCAAACTTCCTGAAAGTACAACCTATGCTTGTTAGTTCTATTTCCCTACCTTGTTGCAGAAAATGGTGAGAGCTGTACTGCCTGTCTTTTGAGACATTCTTTTCCTGAAGATCAAATGAACTGACAATGAAGGAGCTTTGGTAAACTGTAATTTACATATTGGATCGTGTTAGTGAAATGAAAACACCTTCATGCCCAGGAGCAATCTCCCCGCCCCTCAGCTGTCACACTTCATAATCTCTTGCCTTACGGTTCTGACAATTGATTATAAATGCTGCTTCTTTGAAACTTTTTTTTCTCCAGTGTTATTTCATGAAAGTTGTTTTTGCTTCTCTTCCAAATGTCTCTCCATAGAGGATGTAGGCATTTAGATATCTGACCCTGTGTGTGTATGTGCATAAATATAACTGTATTTATGTGTGTGCGTATTATAATACACATACATTTTTGTGTGATAATTAGGGCACTGTTCTGAAAGCGTCCTACCTCTCTGCCTCCTGTTCTCTTTCCCTTTAGCATTCTATTCCAACTCCTATAAAATTTAGACATTCCCCCGGAATTTCTGCATTTAATTTTATTGTATCCCTGCTCAGTACTTTACAAGTAATTCAGTTCAACACATATTTTTTGAGCCACTGGGAACATAAGAGTGGATATAACTTGCAATGGTTCAGTCATTCATTCATTTAAGAAATGCCCACCTGGGGGAGTTTACAGTCTAGTGGGGAGACAGACAATAAGCAAAGAAACAGCCATCCCTGTTTGAGTGTGACGATCAAATGTTTGACTGTGAGAATAGTGCTGATGAACACAAACATGATTAGGCAGAAAATAATCAACAAGAAAGGGAAAGTCTCTATAAGAAGGTAACACCTAAACTGGGGTCAGGAGGATGCGGAGGAGTTGGTGGCCCTCACAGGTGGGGTAGAGTGGTCCTGGCGGGGAAGTAACGTGAGCAGAGTCCCTGAGACAGGAAAGAATGTGACGTGTCTGTGGGTCTGAAAGAAGATCATTGTGGCTGGAGCAGAGTGAGAGAGAAGGGCTGTGGCATGGGATGGGGCTGGAGGAGAGGCCCAGATCAAGCAGCACAGTTCAGACACTGGATGGAACGAAAACAAGAGCAGTGGGAAGCCATTGTAGGGTTGTATGCAGCTTACTCAAACAGCAGAATTTGTGATGTTTTAGAGTGTCTCTGATTTGTGTATGTAAATGTATTGGGGAATTATGGAAGGAAAGAGACCCATTAGGAGGCCATAGACCCATTAGGAGATCACTGCAGTTGTCTGGGCAGGAAACCCAAACTTTGAACTATTTCTACTATATAGATGACCCCCAAATCCATATTCCTAGTTTAGATGTCTTTTCTCTCTGACTGCTAGCTAGACTGGTGGTTCTCAAAGTGTGGTTGCCACCTGTGGGCTTGTTAGAAATGCAAATTCTGTGCCCCACCCCAACCTAATAAATCAGAATCTCAGGATTGGGACCAGAAAACTGTCTTTCAAAAGATCTCCAGGTGGTTCTGATGATAAAGTTTTAGGACTACTCCAGGACAGTAATTCTCAAATCCTGAGCAGTTCCCAGACTTACCTGGAGTGCTTGTTAAACCACGCCTTGCTGGGCCCCACCAGAGCTTTTTCAGTAGGTTGGGGACAGGAGGGGACGATGTCAAGAATTTGCATATATAGCAAGTTCTCAGGGAATGCCAGTACTGCTGGTCTAGGGAACACACTTTGAGAATCATCAGGTACCTAAGTGACATCTCCACCTACTCCACAATACTTCAAAACTTAACAGCATGGGACCGAATTCCTCCGTGCCTCCCCCCGGGAAAGCTTTCCCCCTGTCTTTCCTGCTTGCCGTCAGCAAGTTCCAGTTATCCTATCTGTCATTCTTTGTCTTCCACCCTATCAACCATTCCCAAGTCTTTATTTTAACCTCACCATTCTATATTGTCTTTCTACCTGTTTACTCTATTTTTATCACCATCTAGTTCAGGGTCTTATTGTCTCTTCTGGATAACCGTTAAAAGCCGTCAACTAACAACCTCTCCCAATTCTTGCAACACTGGAGTGAATCATTGTCTCTGGAGTTGGGGGACCATAAAGGTCTCTGGGTTAATTTGTCAATAGTGAACTATGAGAAATCTATTGCAGTTTCCCACCTTGAATATGCATTAGAATCACTTGGAGCATTTTTAAAACTTCTACTTACCAGGGATCATTCCCAGAGATTCTGATTTAATGGGGCTCAGTGGGAACCCAGACATCACTTGTTAAAATCAATGGGGTGGAGAGACTGAGACCCACTGGGATCTCAGGGATCTGCTGAGATCTGCTGGGATCTCCCCCTGCTATGGAAGCTCACAGCAGAGGAAGACAGTGGGAGACTCATCAGTTGATTGAATGCCGGGGTGTCAGCACTAAAAAGGAGCTCTGAAAGTGAGAGATGACTCTGAGGGAGGTTTTGTGTTTTTTTTTTAAGATTTTATTTATTTATCTTTAGAAAGGAAGGAGAGAAACATCAATGTATGGTTGCCTTTCATGCATCCCCTACTGGGAACTGGCCTGCAGGGAACCAGGCGGCAACCCAGGCATGTGCCCTGACTGGGAATCGAACTGCGATTCTCAGGTTCGCAGACCTGTGCTTAATCCACTGAGCTACAACAGCCAGGGCCTGAGGGAGGTTTTGAGATCAGGTGGCAGGAGACTGATGAGGCACAGTCAATAGAAACAGGACGTTCTGGAGGAACAACTGGTATTTCAAAGGCAAGAGGATGTCTGGTTCTGGATGTACTACATGGCAGGCGCCAGCAGGACAGCCCACTGCAAATGTCGATAATGCAGTGAGAAAGGGGGTCTGGGGCATGATGAGCCTGTTCTAGAGATAACGATGGAATCATTTACAAAGAGGTGATTGTGGACGGTGCTGGGGTAGAGGAGGACCTTGAGAGAGGGTATAACTGTGTTTCCCAGTGTGTTTCTCTATTAAAATCACCTGGACTGCTTATTGAAAATGCAGATTTCTGATTCCTTCCTCCAAGAAACTCTGATTGCTAAATCTGGGTTGAGGCCTGGGGCTCAAATTTGTTATGGCTCCTAAGGCAATGGCAATACACACTGAAGTTTGAGCAGCACTAGAAAGAGGGGGAAAAGGTGTGAGGACAGAGAGTGAGGACCATCTATGTTTGGAGGATGAAAATTTACAAGAGGGCTAGCAAGAAAAAGAAAGACAACCCATCAGGGGTGAGAGCAGCAGATTGTGCAGAATCTGGAAGCCAGTGGGAGGAGGACTTTGAATAAGAAGCAGTGAGCTCTGACTGGTGTTGCTCAGGTGGTTGGATGTCTTCCCCAAAACCGGAAAAGTCGGCAGTTCCGTTCCCGGTGAGGACACGTGTCTGGGTTGCAGGTTCCATCCCCAGTCAGGATGTGTATGGGAGGCAACCCACTGATGTTTCTCTCCCTTCTCCTCTCTCTAAAACTAAAAATAAATAAAGTCCTTAAAAGGAAACTTTAAAAAAAAGCAATGAGCAACAGTTTTCTTATGGATAGTAAGTGATTCAGCCATTTCTGTCCTTGCATTATTTCTGTTTTTGACCAACTTAAGCTCCAGACCAACCTACTTTTAACCAAAGTTATGGTTTAAAACCCCAAATTTTAAAACCAAAATGCTACATTGAACTAAATTTTCTTGTGTAAACTTTTCTGGGTAAGCATGAGCAGATAACTTGACTTCTCCTGGGCTCACTTTCCTTCTCATGAGGGGAGTAATCATGTCACTTGTTTAATATGATTACAATAATTAAATATCACAATGCATATAAAGTATTTAACATTGTGCCTAGGACTTATGAGTTGTTTAGTAAAGGCTAGGTACTATTCGTAGCCTAAAAGCATTGTGCATGCCATACTGAAAGTGCTCAAAGAAATGGGTGGATTGAAACTTGGTAAGTAATGAAGAGGAGTATCCTTCAGTGTTTTCTGATCTGGTCATGAAACAAACCTGGGAGCCACCTTGGAACCGCTATGTCAGACCTGAAGCAACTTTAGGCCTATAGCCAACAAACTGTCTTTGGAAACAAGAGCAAATGATTGATCAATAAATATTGACTCAGCTTCTTGCTCTGGGCAGGCAGTTAAGATTCCTGATCTTAGAAGGTTACAATCAAACTGAGGGGTGGACTACATACAAAAGAGACAATGTTGTATAGAATACGTCCAATAGGAAAGTTGACCGTGCACTGAGGCAATTAAGGAAGACTTCAGAAAGGAGTGGAAAATTGAACTTCATTAATGTCTGGTGAAAAACACCACTGGACATATGCCCACAAAAGTATCCCCCTGTTGTCCTGAGGAGTTCATTGACTTAGTCCTTGAATTTGAAATCTGACACTTTTTATCCTATCTAATGAAAACAAAATGGACAGTTCAACAATACACTGTTTTCAGAAGGAAGACATTTTCCATCTCCTGGGTGCAGCGACAGTGGCCGGGGCAGAGCCCACAGGACAAATCTGGGCACGCAGCCCTCATCCTGGGGAGGGGTGGGTAGTGGGGTGGACATTCCTGTGCACTGGGTGGCCTTTTCCCAAGCTCACGTGTCCAGTGGGATGGACTGCCAGTCTCTCCTTGCAGCCTCAGTTGAAGAGTGTGGTAAGACAGGCATACAGAAATTTTCTTCCCCTCTTTGACCAAGTATTGGTTGAAAAGAACACTGTGGAAACTGTAACCAAAGGAGGCATTATGCTTCCAGAAAAATCTCAAAGAAACGTATTGCAAGCGACAGTAGTAGCTGTTGACCTGGGCTCCAAAGGAAGGGGTGGAGAGATTCAGCCCGTTAGAGTAGAAGTTGGTGAGAAAGTTCTTCCAGAATGTGGAGGAACCAAAGTAGTTCTAAAGGGCAAGGATTATTTCTTATTTAGAGATGGGGACATTCTTGGAAAGTATGTAGACTGAAATAAAACAATATAAATGGCATCGCATGAAGCTGCCCATTCCACTGAAGCTCTGAAATCATTCATGTAAATAATTTCTGTGTCTCTTTTATAATAAACTAATGGTATCCAAAAAGAACAAGGTTTTTGGCTGGATTTCACCAGTTAAATATGCTTAGTTTGTGGTGGGCAGCAGGGAGATACCACAGTTTTTAAAAATTGCAATTTTTTAAGGCATATTAGGAAAGACACTTTTTCTTCAAGGGAAGAAAAACAGTTGATAGAATGTCATAATCTTTGTATCCAAGGCTGCTGAGTAGGCTTCAACAAATCGTAACAAAAAACGAACTGCGGAGGGTTAAACTGTAAGTATCTGGGCCCTGCTGACTAGCATGGGAATGGGTGTCCAGCCTGAGGCCCGCGGGCCACATATAACCTAGGAAGACTATGAATGAGGCCCAACACAAAATTGTAAATTTACTTAAAACATTATGAGATTTTTTGTGTAATTACATGTCACAATGTATTTAATGTGTAGCCCACAGATGCCAAAAGGTTGGACACCCTTGTAACCTACCACAGATGGGCTTGGTCAGGCACAATGATGCATTACTGCCAGCAGAAGCAAGACAGCAGAACACAGCTGACTTCCTGTTTCACCCTACCTGTGCCTCACTCTTTGATGACCCAGACCCTGGCTTCTGTGTGGATGAACCCAAAGCCAAACCTGTGAAAGTGGTGGCCGCCCCCCCCCCAAAAAAAGGAGAGCACTTAATCAATGAAATAGAATCATGGACAGTTTATGTTAATTGACTATTATGTTTGTTTGTTTTTTATTTTATTGTCTTTCGAAAGTCTCTAATAACAATATTATTGTGGTGTATTTTTTATGGTTTTGGTTAACTTTAGGAGGTTTTTTTTCAAATGGGAATATTTTGAAATCAGAAGAGAAAAACTTTAGAGATTTTACATTTAAGTGGTAGTTTACAGTTATTGGGTGAATTATAACACAGAAGAGTGAAGGGAAATTCAGAAATAACAATGGAATCACTGAAATTAACATTGGAAAAATCACAGAGAAGGAAAATAGTACCAGAAAGCTGGAAATAGACAAGGGTCATCCTGCTGTTAGCCCTCACCTAATTTCTAGAACAAGTTAATTTAGCATGTCTAGAATATGCACCCTCTAGATCTCATGTACTTGTAAAAGTTAGAAAGTAAAGCAGTAATTTCTAGGAGCCAGCATGAATTTGCCAAGTAATCTGAAAGGTCTTCTTTTAAATCATAAGGATATCATATTCAAGTTAGTTCTGCTGATTATTTAAGTAGCACTGTCATTACATAGTTTCCATGCTCTATAAGAAAAGACTAGATTACTTAGATGCAACTGGAAAGCAACAATGTTTTTTGTTTTACATAAAACCTGTCTGAGCTTTGGTATCTTTATCTGCAAAGAGTGGATAATAATAATCTCTGATCAACCTCCTGATACCAAGTATGGCAAAGTGCTTTTAAAATGTAAGCAATATGCAATAAAGAAATCTTACAATAAAAACAAAAAGGAAAAGCAGGTAGATGAGAGAAAAGAATAACGGTAAGCAGGAAATATACATGTAAGGTAAAAACAGTTTTAGGGCAGAAAAAAAGACCTTAGTGGAAGAACTCTATTTTTTTCTAATTTTTTTTAATAAGTGAAGTGAGATTCAGGAAGGTAAAATGACTTCCTTTAAGTCTCATAGTAAATCCATGGTGAGAAGAAAGAAAACCAAAAACGGAAAGAAAAAACCCCACAAAACAACTAAGAGAAGTCAAAAGTGTTCTTTTAAGAACTGATCTAAGTGGGCTGGTAGCATTGACCTATCCCTCTCGCTTAGCTCTGAAAATGCCAGTCTGCCTCTGGACCTTGGCCGAGGCGGCCGTGTTGGACCATCGTTCCTCGCACAGTAGTTTTCCCAAGGGTGCCCATCAGAAAGCAGGGTCCAGCACCCCTTCTGCTCTCAGTGCTCACCGCATTTTATCTACACACACCTTTCTCTCCCTGGGCTGATATCCAGAGAGGAGGGATATGGGCCCACATGATTCCTTTGCTCTGGTCCCTCCATTTTACAAAATGAAGGAAAAAAAAACCATTTAGATTACTTTAGAGACCCAAATTACTATAGAGATAAAAAAAAACATACATTCTCAAAAATATTGTAGTTAGTTGGTATAGCACAAAAACACCTAATTATTTGATTCATTTAAAGAGGAATGTGTCTAATGATTTCTTTTTAGTGGCAGTTAAGTCAGTAAAACTAGTAACGGTGGCACAGTATGGGAGCAGGGCCTTTTCCACATGATATAAAAAGTTTTTCTTATGAAGTTGTATCTTCTTGTAGAAATGAAAATGATGAAAGAGAGATCCCCATGGAGTCATTTTAGAAACAGAGAGAAAAAAAAACACCTTTCAGCCAATCGGTGTGTCAGTCTCCAGGGTCAGAACACATTTGCCCAGGGACTTGTTGGTTCAAAGTGTCCCAGGAAAGATTTGTGTGCAGTTCTCACCATGTGTATGCTCATTTGAAAGTCTTTTTTCTGTTGTTTAAAATTACTAAAACCATCCAACACGGCAAAGAAATAAGAGAGGAAGAAGGCGATAATTTCCTTAAATTGTTGTTTTTGTCAGTGAGATAGTCTTCCCTCCACAGCCTAGCAAATAGCCAACAGCACATCATAAATTCTTTTGCTCTAAGACACACTCCCCTGATAGTACAGGTTGGTGGTCCCCCAGCTTAGTTCTGAGCACAGACGCAGGGTCTCTCAATGTCCTTGCCCACAAAGAAAAACGATTCATGTGAAGTAAGTTATGTTTCAGGAAATGTAACAGAAAGGTAGTTGCCCTAATGGTAATTGAAACTAGTAAAGTAAAAAAAGACAACTTTGGCTGAAAAAAATAGAAATGAAAAAATAAACTAATAAAGTAAAAAATAAATAAACGTCACTCTCTCCTTTTCATTCCCAAGTCAGTGTCTCGGACACCCTCATGCTGCTCAATGTCACAGCAGCCCTGGGCGTGAAGGCCCCATTGCAAGGCAACACTCTGGGATTCGAAAACGTGCTGTCGAAGTCATGGCTGTGAACGGGGACTTTTTGGTCGTCCGTAAACAGCTGCTTGTCAGCTTAGTCTGATCAGTTAAACCAGCTGGATCATCAAACTAGCCCGAGCCTTCCTTAGTTCAACAAGCAACTCTTTAATGTCACGGTCATACACAATTCATTACTTCAGTAGTATATGTAGAACTTGGGAAAACTAATCAAACGCGTGCAGGTTATCTGTAATGTAACCATAAATATAAAGTGTTACTCTTTTTTTGGCAGCTCACATTTCCCCTTGACCCTAGTGGTTTGTCGGGTTGGATTTTTCTTTCTTCATATCAAAGCCCACACCTCTGGTCACCTCCGCCTGCTGCGCTGCCCCCGCGCCTAGCGTCTTAACTCTAGTTGTGTCTGTGCTTCCACTCTGGCCCCTCTTCTCCCCCCTAAAAACGCTCCCATCTTAGAAAAGTATGGGATTGTCTAACCCCGATGCTGAGCACCTGAAATTAATACAGAATAATATTGAACATAAACTGTAATTGAATTTTTTAATTGTAAAATAAACAAGAAAAGAGGGCCCACCTGGAGGACCCCTTTAAAATTCAGATCTGAGCACCTCACTCCCCTTCTCCACGTCCTTATTCCGGCCTCCAAAGCGCTGCGCAGAGTGGCCCTGGACACCCCGCCCCCCAGCTTCCCCTCCTGGCGTTGCCCCCTGGTCACGCCACTCCAGCCATGCTGGCCTCCTCGTGGTTTTGGGACCCCACCAGGCCCACTCCCCGCTCAGGGCTTTTGTGGTGCTGTCCTCACACAGACGCCCGCTTGGCTCAAACCTCTGCTGAAGCGACCTCTCAGCACTCGTTTCTCCCACCGTCCTATCTGTAGTGATAGACTTTCGTTCGCCCTTGCTACCACCTCCCACTGCTCCCTATCCCCTCGCCTAGCTTTTGAATAGAAAATTGTTAGAGTATAGATAGATGATAGATAGATAGATAGATAGATAGATAGATAGATAGATAGATAGATAGATAGATAGATAAAAAAGAAGAAAAAGAAAGAAAGAAGAAAGAGAAAGAAAAGAAAGAAAGAAAGAAAGAAAGAAAGAAAGAAAGAAAGAAAGAAAGAAAGAAAGAAAGAAAGAAAGAAAGAAAGAAAGAAAGAAAGAAAGAAAAAGATATAGGTACAGATATATAGTGCGTAAGCTATTACATGGTTTCTGTAAAGTAAGTGATTTATTCTGTATCTTCTTAGGCACTTTTTTTGTCAGCTTATTGATTAGAAATTTACAGAAATTTTTCACAAACTATAACAAAACAAGGTCTTTTACAGTTCTTTTTGGCATTTGCGGCTTGAACATAATGGCACCGTAATTTTTTAACGACTAAATGAATTCCACATGAAGACAGTCACGCTCACTCTCTCTCCTCTCCCTTAAACCCACAGACGTCTTGCTGGAAATGCTTTGACATACATTCCCAAGGGAGCCTTTGCTGGTCTTTACAGCCTGAAAGTTCTGTAAGTAAACTGGACGTTATTTGCTGTATATCTGACTGTTGTGGTGAGTGGGTGCTAATTAACTTGTAAAGACTGAGTTCCGCTAATGAGCCATTTGGAGCCGTGCAATAATTCATCTGAATTCAAGTCTACCTTCATTGGTGCCACAGACCGATATTATACCTGACTGGATTTGTATGGAAAAAAAAACTCTCCTTCTTTAACTTTAATATCTAAAATTGTTTGCCTGTAAATAACCAATTTATTTTCAACTCACACTTTTAAAAGAATGTTTCCAATTTGTGTGTCTGTGTGTGTGTGTGTGTGTGTGTGTGTGTTATGAAGTTGGGGAGGGTTTCTTGAATTATTTGATCACCGAGTGAAGAAGTCACCATGCTAATATAATGAAATCACATCTTCAAGCCACTTGCAAAGTTTGTTTCCTTATGAATAAGGATTAGCTAAAATAACATACCAAGTTTATGTTGCCATTGTAAGTAGATGTGGAAAAGCCTAGTGATTGTACATTGAGTAATTGAGAAACGTTAATTCACTGAGGCATGTAAAAGTGGGTTTTCTTATTATTTAGTGTCCAACTTCCCCATCTGTTTATCAAAAACCTCATTATTATTGACTACCTCCTTCACTGAGTACCCGGTTGTTTAATTTTCTTTCAGTTTATTCTGTGTAGGAAAAAAGGAGGCACCTAGGTAGAGAAAATAAGTAACACAAGTTGGAAGTCAGAACAGAAAATTTTTCTCAGAGAAAATATCCTAACTTTATTTCCTTTCTTTGAGATAAAATTTAATGAACTCTAAAAAGGCATTGATATATTTTGCAGAGTGGAAATTACATTTTATTCACTGCAGGGATACATAGATGATTTAAGTTTAATATTTGTTAAGTATTAAATTTGTTAAAGGTCAAATTCAACAGCAGAACCATTTTTGGTCTGCTTAAGTGATTGGATCTGGCCCCCTCAAGCCTTGAATTATTTTTGCTATTAGGCAGAAATATTTTTAAATTGTCATATTGCCAAAGCCTAATGATAATTCATTATGTGGTAGAATTCCGAATTACAGCACCAACTTCAGGACACATATGTCTCCATGAACACAGCAAAATATTTGGAACCCTTCAAAATGTATCACGTAAATCAAGTTTGGATAAGACAAATAAGGTGATGTGTTTCCTGTGTCAACCTATGCACCTCTAAGAATTTCGACATTGTTAAATTAGGTACACTGGAACTGATTATTTCAACTCACTAAACAAAATGTAAATCACATGTACAGAGCCAGAGTGTATGTGTGTATGTGTGTCTGTGGTGTCTGCATGTAAAGTGTATCTCCAGCCATCATGGTTAGATGTGAATTGTGAATACATAATGTGAAAACATACAAATTATATAATATGAATAGCCATGAATTAGATATACACTAGGTATGATAATTATGTAGAATTATTTTACAATTTTGAATTCTCATGTTTAAATTGCTTAGTTTAGAATGAATCTTTTGGCATTCTTAATTTTCTAATAATATATTTCTAATTTTATCATACTACCCTAAACATGCATAAAATGGGAGACATTGTGTGTCTTGACCACGTGTCTCTCCCCAGCTCCCAGAACAGTGCCTGAATCACAGTAGACACTCAAGAAATATTTGTTGAAAAAATGATTCAGATTGATGATACAGAGAGAACAAAAAGTTTCTAGACTTGTCAACTTTTCTTCATTTTGTATTTAGAACTAGTGCTATATGTCTATTAATATGTTATCTGTTGTGTTCTAAGCAAAAAATATGGTCTTCTACCTGTCAGCGGGTTTTATGTACCCTGAATACTTCTGCTCACACCTTGCTGCTTCCTGTGGTGCATTTTGCCTGAACACTTCAGAGAGCTTTGGATTAATCTGAATTAACAGTGAAAATCATAGGTTAGATCTCCAGCTTGTCATTTTTATATGTACCTTTTCTGCCAGAAAAAAAAAAAAGAAATGTGGTATTTACTTAGACACTCTCATTAATCCTCACCTAACTAACCAATGTCTCCTGTCTCCTATAGAGTCAGGGGTTCAGCAAATGCTAGTGACTGTGACTCTCCAAGTGTCATTAAACAAATTACTGCTGGAAATACAATGATCAATAAGTGCGGGCCACATCCAAAAGAGCTTATAATCTAGTGGTAGATCATGGGGTCAAGATAGTGGAACCAAGGCAGACAAATAGATCACCCTTGATTCTTCTAGAAAGTGTGTCTCGAATTGTGTGTAGAGCACTATGGAACTACAGAGGTTGGGAAGAATTTAGTTCAATCTGATAATTAACATTCAGCTTCCTGGGAGAGATGTTTTTACAAAGAGATGACCTAGGAGTTGAATGTTCAAGCACGACTAGGAATTAGCCAAACAAATAAGGTGGCTGACTAAGGAGACTATATGCACAGAGACACAATGGCAAGAAATACCTGGGAAGGACTTCCGCCAAGATGGAGGCATAGGTGGAAACACTGTACCTTCTCGCACAACCAAGTTTAAAAACAACAAAGTTTTAGCAACAAAAACACAGCCAAACCACAGAAAATTGAACTGTACGGAAGTCTGACAACAACGAACCTTTCAGCCAGACTGGTAAGAGGGGCAGAGCCAGCAGCAGAGCAGGGTCGGGCAGGAAAGATCCACCAGACCTACCCAAGCGCACAACCCAGGTGCACAGGCAGCCGTGGGCGGATCCCAGGTGTGGAGTAGCAGCGAGCGGACCCAATGAAGGCACAAGGCAGCAGGCTGACCGCGGTCACACATTTGCATGCAGATAAACTGGCGAAGGAGCAAGCAGTCAGACAGACCTCTCAGGCCCCAGCAGCAGGAAGCAGCAGACAGAACAGCTATTGCCCCCCTTTAACCCCGCCCCCACATACAGCATCACAACCCATCGACCTGGGTGCCCCACCCCTTGAACACCTAAGGCTCCGCTTCTAATATGTAAGGGGCATGAACAGACCAAAACATGGCTCAAGAAGAACTCAAAGCCCCAGAGCCTATAACTCTAAGCGGCCAAGAAATAGCCAAACTTTCAGATGCACAGTTCAAAACACTGGTGATCAGGATACTCACAGAACTGGTTGATTTTAGCCACAAATTAGAGGAACATATGAAGGCTAAACTAATTGAAATGAAGGGAAATGCACAGGAAACCAATAGTGATGGAAAGGAAACTGGGACTCAAATCAAGGGAGTGGACCAGAAGGAAGAAAAAAATTACCAAACAGAAAAGGATGAAGAAACAGGAATTCAACAAAATGAGGAGAGGCTTAGGAACCTCCAAGACATCTTTAAATGCTCCAACATCCGAATTATAGGGGTACCAGAAGGGGAAGAGGAATAGCCATGAGTGGAAAACTTATTTGAACAAATAATAAAGGAGAATTTCCCCAATCTGGCAAAGGAAATAGACTTCCAGGAAGTCCAGGAAGCTCAGAGAGTCCCAAAGAAGGTGGACCCAAGAAGGAACACACAAAGGCACATCATCATTACATTACCCAAAATTAAAGATGAAGGAGAGAATCCTAGAAGCAGCAAGAGATAAGGGGACAGTCACCTACAAAGAACTTCCCATCAGACTGTCAGCTGATTTCTCAAAAGAGACCTTACAGGCAAGAAGGGGCTGAAAAGAAGTATTCCAAGTCATGAAATGCAAGGACCTACATCCAAGATTGCTCTATCCAGCAAAGCTTTCATTGAGAATGGAAGGGCAAATAAAGGGCTTCCCAGATATGGTCAAGTTAAAGGAGTTCATCATCACCAAGCTCTTATTATATGAAATGTTAAAGGGACTTATCTAAGAAAAGGAAGATAAAAAATATGAACAGTGAAAGGACAGCAAACTCACAGTTATTAAGAACCACGCCTAAAACAAAAGCAAACTAAGAGGACAGCTACATCAGGAGCAGAACCATGAAATGGAGATCACATGAAGGGTTAGCAGCAGGGGAGTGGGAGTAGGAGAAGGGGGGAGAAGGTACAGAAAATAAGTAGCATAGACGGTAGGTAGAAAATAGGGGGGAGAGCAAAAATAGTAGGGGAAATATAGAATCTAAAGAACTTGAGACACATGGTCATAAACTAAAGGGAGGGAATGGTGGGGGAAGGGTGTTCAGGGTGGAGGGGAATGAAGGGGGGAAATAGAACAAGTGTAATGGCATAATCAATAAAATATCTTTAAAAAAACAAAAAGCGGACTTCCGCCAAGATGGAGGTTTAGGTGGATGTGCCGTGCCTCCTCATACAACCAAGTTTAGGGACAACTAAATATTAGCATCAGAAAACACAACCAGAACACGGAAAACTGAACTTTTCGGAAGTCCGCTAACAACAAATTCTTCAGCCCGACCGGTAAGGGGCGAAACCGGGGCGAAACCGGCGTCTGGTGAGGAGCTGCAAGGGAGGGCTTGGTCGGACCCGGGCGTGGAATCCAGACGCGCGAATCCAGACGCACGGGTTCCAAACCCAGGATTGGACCTAGTGAGCGACCGAGCAACCCACCGGGTGAGCGACTGCAGAGGAGACAGTGGGGAGGCGGTGCAGCGAGTTGACTGCGGTTGCCTAATTGCACGCGAGCGAGGGAGTGGGCGGTTGGACCGGCCGCAGTGGCGATAGAGGGCGCCGCCATTTCCCCGCTCTGACCACGCCCCCACATACAGCGTCACAACCCAGCGACCTGGGAGTCCAAGGCGCAGTTTCTCACATTTAAAGGGCCAGGACAGACCAAAAATGTCGCAGGGAGACCTCAAAGCCCCAGAGATAAATCTAAGCGACGAAGAAATAGCAAAACTCTCAGACGCACAGTTTAAAACACTGGTCATCAGCTTCCTCACAAATCTGGTTGATTATAGCCACAAATTAGAGAAACATATGAAGGCTAAATTAAGGGAAATGAATGGAATTCCACAGGAAACCCATAGAGATGAAAAGGAAACTGGAACTCAAATCAATGGAGTGGACCAGAAGAAACCAAATAATG